ATAGTTACACTAATAAATTATTTCCTTTATTAAGGGACGTTTTGCAGGTAAAATAAAAAGGAACATTCTTGAATTTGAATACAATGCAAGAATGAAAACTTGCACAGGGCTGGACAGAAAGTTGTTTTGAAGTTTTATGGGTGATGTGCTGTGAGGTGTTCTAGTCAAGCTACCCTTCTTCTCTCCCCAGTATCTAACATTACATTTGGGTTCAAGCATTTCCTGATACAGAAAGGAATTGTATAAGGTGGCACTGCCAAGGCAGTCCTCAAAGAGCTTTTTGAGACATGCAACAACGAGAACGTACCAGTGATCATGCTAGACCAGACAAAAGGTCTGTTAAAGCTAAGTATCCTTAGAACAGTGGCCAGTAGTAGACAGCTGGTGAAAGATGTAAGAACAAGGCAGGTACATCGTGATAATTCTTAGGGAATTTGCTCTGAAACCTCAGCCTTTCAGAGCCAGAATTAGGATATTTGTACTTAGTATCCCTAGATGGATTTTTCTTTATGAATTTGTCTGATTGGTTCCTAAATTTCTAACTTTCTGAAGTACGTGATATCCAGTTGTTAGTTTTACCTTTTCCCTATTAGTTTTGGCTTACTTTTGGGAGAGGTGGAGTTCCAACAGGCATGTAATAAAGCATTCTGCGGCTTGGAGTCAATTGACTTTCATGTTCATCTGCTTAGCTTCTGTGAAACCGCAATGAAAATCCTGCATCTGAAGAATGCAGTTTGAAACACCTTTTATCTGCTCCCTGCTGTACGCTGCCCCTGACTTTTCCACATGATACCATTAAGAAACAAATTTTGGATACCTTCCTTTTCAGTAGTTCAGGTGGTTGAATTACAAATATTTGAGGCATGTAAAGTTAAGTAAGTGTACTAGTCCAAGGCAACTACAGCTGGATGTCACAGATGAAAAAGCTGGCTGCTGGGAAGAGGAGCTGTAAGTTTCCAGATGGTGACCTAGTTGGATCTTTACACAGTTCCTTCAATTACAATGAATTAACCATTTTCAGCCCAGGCCATGTTCAACAGCAAGGTATGTAGTTGGCAGCTTTTATGTAGGATTGCAATTGCATGCAGTTCTGTCCTTTTTCATCCTCTCTTCCCTGTGCTTCCCAAAAGGAAGAAACAAGCAAGCGTATGCTCCCAAAATTCTTATTTAATTCTGCCATTGGTTATGGCAGTTCCTTATTCAGTAATAAAACAGTATATGAGGGATGAGAGTTCTGTAACGGGCAGGTGAATCTGAGGGGTGTTCTCAGGTAGGCGCCAGGCTATTCCTTCGATTACTGTTTTGGAAGACTCTAGTAGTTAGCTTTAACATAAAAGCTCAAATGTAGCTCTTAGCCATTATTTTGGGAGGATAGGTGGAAAGTTCCTTGTCTGTCTGGGCCTTGAGACGGTCCATAAGCAGATCTGTGGCTTTTGGGGAGTGCTGCCTGCTGCCCAGGCTGTCTCTGAACCAAAGATCAATACTGTGCTAGAAGAATGATCTTGAGGGACTGCATAAGGTAAATCAGTGGCCAGGCAGTACAGTGGAGTCATTGGTGCTGTATAAGTGTGACATTCCTAAGTCCCTAAGGTTGTATTATAGCCCAAGCAAATTCTTTAATCAAGACAAATTTATGGAAGTCATCTTCACAGGATGGTAGGGGTTGGAAGAGACCTCCAGAGACCATCTAGTCCAACCCCCGTGCTAAAGCAGGTTCACCTACAGCAGGTTGCACAGGATCACGTCCAGGCAGGTTTTGAATACCTCCAGAGAAGGAGACTCCACAACCTCTCTGGGCAGCCTGTGCCAGTGCTCTGCCACCCCCAAAGGAAAGAAGTTTTTCCTCATGTTCAGGGGTAACTGTGTTGCAGTTTGTGCCCTTTGTCCCTTCTCCTGTCCCTGAGCACCACTGAAAAGAGTCTGACCCCATCCTCTTGACACTTGCCCTTTAGATATTTATAAGCATTGGTAAGGTCTCCTCTCAGTCTTCTCTATCCAGTAGTTCCTTGTCTCTCTTGAACTGGGGAGCCCAGAACTGGACACAGGCCTCCAGAGGTGGCCTCACCAGGGCAGAGTAGAGGGGGAGAATCACCTCCCTCAACCTGCTGGCCATACTTTTCTTAATGCACCCCAGGATACCATTGGCCTTCTTGGCCACAAGGGCACATTGCTGGCTCATGGATAACTTGTCAATCAGAACTCCCAAGTCCTTCTCAGCAAAGCTGCTCTCCAGCAGGTCAACTTCCAGCCTGTACTGGTGCATGGGGTTATTCCTCCCTAGGTGCAGGACCTTGCACTTGCCCTTGTTGAACCTCATTCTCCCCCCCACCCCCCCAGCCTGTCCAGATCTCGTGGAATGGCAGCACAGCCTTCTGGTGTATCAGCCACTCCTCCCAATTTTGTATCATCAGCAAACTTGCTGAGGGTGCCCTCTGTCCCTTCACCCGGGTCATTGATGAATATGTTGAAGAAGACTGGACCCAGTACTGACTCCTGGGGAACATCACTAGTTACAGGTCTCCAGCCGGACTCTGCACCGCTGCTCACAATCCTCTGAGCTCTGTCCTTCATCCAGTTCTCGATCCACCTCACTGTCCCCTCATCTAACCCACACTTTCTAAGTTTATCTATGAGGATGTGATGTGAGACAGTGTCAAAATCTTTGCTAAAGTTGAGGTAGACAACACCCACTGCCCTCCCTCATCCACTCAGCCAGTCATGCCATCATAGAAGGCTACTAGATTGGTCAAGCATGATTCCCCATTGGTAAATCCGTGCTGACTATTCCTGATAACCTTCTTTTCCTCCATGTGCTTAGAGATGACATCCAGAATGAGTTGTTCCATCATCTTTCCAGGGATAAAGGTGAGGCTGACTGGTCTGTAGTTTCTGGATCCTCCTGCTTGCCCTTTTTGAAGACTGGAGTGACATTGGCTTTCTTCCAGTCCTCAGGCACATCTCCTCCATGACCTTTCAAAGATGATGGAGAGTGGCTTAGCAACAGTATCCGCCAGCTCCCTCAGCACTTGTGGGTGCGTCCCATTGGGGCCCATGGATTTGTGAGTGTCCAGTTTGCCTAAATGATCTCATACCCTGATCCTCCTTGATCAAGGGAAAGTCTGTCACTCTCCAGACTTCCTCTCTTACCTCTAGGGTCTGGGATTCCCGAGGACCAGCCTTAACAGTAAAGACTGAGGCAAAGGCAGCATTTAGTTACTCCATCTTCTCTATATTCTCTGTCACCATGGTACCCTACCTCATTCAGCAGTGGGCCCACTTTTTCCCTAGTCCTTTCTTTTGCTGCTGATGTACTTGAAGAAGCCCTTCTTATTATCCTTGACATCCCTTGCCAGCTTCAATTTCAAGTGGGCCTTAGCCTTCCTCATTGCATCCCTGCATACTCTGACAGTGTTCCTTTAATCCTCCCAAGTGGCCAGTCCCTTTTTCCACATTCTGTAAACTTCCTTCTTCCAGCTGAGCTTTTCCAGAAGCTCCTTGCTCATCAGTGCAGGTCTCCTGCCTCCTTTGCTTGATTTCTTACTCATAGGGATGCACTGATCTTGAACTTGGGGGAAGTGTTGTTTTAATATTAACTAGCTGTCTTGGGTCCCCTTACCTTCTAGAGCCCTAGCCCATACAATCCTTCCAAATAGGTCTTTGAAGAGGCTAAAGCGCTGAGCTTTTCCAGAAGCTCCTTGCTCATCAGTGCAGGTCTCCTGCCTCCTTTGCTTGATTTCTTACTCATAGGGATGCACTGATCTTGAACTTGGGGGAAGTGTTGTTTTAATATTAACTAGCTGTCTTGGGTCCCCTTACCTTCTAGAGCCCTAGCCCATACAATCCTTCCAAATAGGTCTTTGAAGAGGCTAAAGCTAGCTCTTCTGAAGCTCAGGTTTGTAAGTCTTACTGCCCTGCTTCTTCCATGCAGGACCCTGAACTCCACCATTTCATGGTCACTGCAGCCAAGGCTGCCTCCAACCTTCACATCCCCAACCAGTCTGTCCTCCTTTGTTTGTTAGCACAAGGTCCAGCAGCACACCTCTCATTGCTGGCTTCACCGCTTGGGTCAAAAAGTTATCATCAGTGCTCTGCAGGAACCTCCTGTACTGTGCGTGCCTAGCTGTGTCACCTTTGCAGCAGATATCAGGGTGATTGACATCCCCCATGAAAACCAGGGCCTGTGAATGTGAGGCCACTTTCAGCTGTCTGTATAAGGCGTCATCGACTTCCTCTTCCTGATCAGGTGGCCTGTAGTAAACACCCACAACAGTGTCACCCATATTAGCCTGCCCCTTGATTCTTACCCATAAGCTCTCCGCTTGTTCTTCATCAGCCCCTAGGCAGAGCTCGGTACGTTACAGGTGCTCTTTCACATAAAGAGCAACTCCACCACCTCGCCTTGCTGGCCTGTCTTTCCTAAAAAGTATGTAGCCATCCATGACAGCATTCCAGATGTGTGAGCTGTCCCACCATGTGTCTCTGAATGCAATGATCATGGCCGTGTGACCACACACAGATGTCTAGTTCTTTGTGTTTATTCCCCATGCTGTGTGTGTTTGTCTAGGCATTTCAGAGAGATAATCAAGCATGTAGGTTTCCCTGGAGGGGTGCAAGAGGATCCACCATAGCCATATACACCTTTGAAGTGGTTGATCTTCTGGTTCTCATCTTGGGAGGCAGCTAAGGAACAATTGTCGCTGCTCTGGTTGGCCTGGCTTACTCCCCAGTTGGATGTGATGGCATGAGCATTGCCATTCTGGACCCTACTCACTGAGTCCTTCAGTTTAAAGCCCACCTCACCAAGTTGGCCAGCCTGCTGCCAAAGATTTCCTTGCCTCTTCTAGAGGTGGATTCCATCCCTCCCTAGCAGGTTATAGTCATTAAAGAATATCTCATTGTCATAAAAGCCAAAACCCTTGTGATGGCACAAGACACAAAGTCAGAAACTGATGTGCGTTATTTGTCTATTTCTGGCTGCACACTTTCCTCCAACTGGTAAAATGGAGGAAAAGGTAACTTGAGCATCAATATTTTTTACTTGCACCCCCAGGGCTTTGTACTCTTCCTTGATTCTGCCCAGGTTCTGGCTCCTGGTGTCATTCATGCCCACATGGAAGATAAAGTGGATAGTAGTCTGTGCTTTTGACAAGATGTGGCACCCTCTCAGCAGTATCTCTGATCTTAGTTTCTGGAAGGCAGCATAACTCTTGTAACTGTCAGGCTGGCAGATGGGTGTCTCAGTGCCCTTTAACGGAGTCACCTATTATGAGCACTCATTATTTCTTTTTACAGTACCCACTGTGTGCTGCTGGTACAGTATCTCCATGCAGACCTTGCTTGTTAGTGTCTATCTGTTAAAGCTTCATATCTGTTTTTTGTTGTGATGCTGGAGAGCGGAGACTGAAGCGGAGTCCTACTTATATCTTATGTTATATGACAGTGTTTGACATCTGATAAAAAAAATGTGAGGCTTTTCTTGTTTACTTGCATAATAGTCATGGGAAGGGAGGAAGAACATAAGTGGCATGGCTGACTACTACTGTTTGCTGGCTGACAAAGAGAAGATGAGATAGGCAAGATAGCAACATAACCTGATGGTGTGATTCTGGCCAAAAAAAATCAGATCCTTTAAAGCTAGCTGACTAGGCAGAGGCTGACTTTGGATTTAAGCTAGTTTACTAGACTTGGAGAAAAATAAAAAAAGAACAAGCTTATAGAGTTCTAAGACTTTTTGTTTTACTAAGAAATAATAAACTAGTGCTTCTGAATGCCTTTGTAAGTCCTTGTTCCCAGGGGCCAGGTCCGTGATCTGATCCTGTTGGGAATAGGATTTCCAGGTAAACAACTTTTTAGTCTAAATTCCTGTTGCTGTAGGAAGTTTTAAAAAGGGAGGGGGCAAAAAAACCAAATAAACAAAGCCTGAAAAAGGCCTGACAAAACAGTTTGGTAGCTGTTCATCCTGAAATCTGTTTTATTTGCTGCATGGGGATCTATTTTAGAAGAACTTCAATGAAAACTTGGACAATGGATCAAAACACTTTAAGGCTTAGTGTTTAAAGGAGTGTTATTTTCTTTGATAGTTTTGGTGTTCTTAAGTTTTTGTGTGTGTCGTTTTGTGGGGGTTTTTTAGGGGGCAGAGGGTTATTCTTGTCTTTATTTATATATATATATATATGAAGTAATTAGATTAATTAATATTTTCTTGGAAGAGGCAAGGAGTTGTTCCCTCTCTGCCCCCTGCCTTGGTGCTTGGTGTGTAACTGTTCTGCATCATGCCCTGATCTTTGACCTGATAGATTCTGCTGAGTGAGAGACAAACCCATCTTGCAAACTGGATTTAATGCTTTAGGCTAGGTATAATCCCAAAGGTGTAACTGCTAGAAAATGTGGTTCCTACTAGTGTTAATAAACTCCAATGTGAGCAGTGTACATTAGGATGTTTATTTATATATATATATATATACACACACATACACAGGTATGTTTGTGTGTATGTGTTGTTATTTTCCCCTGGTTCTGTTTTTCCACTTCTACTTCATACCAACACTGCTGAGGCTTGTTGAAGATGACAGCTTTTGCTTTTGCCAGCCAGAATCTGTTTTTGCAGTGAGGGGTCTCTGCTGGGGAAATCTTTCTGCTATCTTTCTTCTCTCCACAGGGTAGCAAGCATAAGGACTGCCCTCCTGTCTGCTCTGCTGACAGCCATGTGTTCTCTGCTCTTGCTGCAGCAGCTGCTGCTCCTCAGCCTGACTGAGAGAGCATAAATTAAAATACAAAGGTCTCCTGTGGCCCCTTTTGGCTGACAGTGCAATGGCAGATCAGACCTTCCTACATCATCTTCACTTGGCTTTTTTCTTTTTCTCAAGAATTTCGTCTGTGTTTGTATCGGTCACAGTCTTTTACCACTGGGCTGAGTAGGAGCAGCAACTCAGTCACTCCAAATGTTTTATGTGCTTGAGTGACTGGAGCAGTTTGCAGAGAAAAGAATTAGCAATGTGAGTTTCATGAGAAGCTCAAGTCTTTCTCCTTTTTATGCTTCCTGAAGAAGAGGAACTATTTTTGTGCTTTATATGGCTGCTGAAGATACAGGGCTAATTCCTGTTCTCATCTCCCTATGAAGGCAGGCAGAATGTTAGAAGCAGCAGAACCATTGTGTTGCCATTTTGTGTGTGTGACTGAGGGCACAGCAGTGAGTAGAGTGTTTTCTCTGATGGGTTTTTGTTTTCTTGAAGCCTGATGCCATATGATGTTCATATAGGGGGTCTTTAACTCCCAGAGGGCAGAGAGGCAGCTACTTGGTGGTGGGATGGTATGCCGCAAAAGTGGCTATGTAGATTTCCTGACCCAACTGTGTATGTCGGGTTTTTTTGGGATGGGGGGGTGGGGTGTTTGTGTTTTGGGTTTACCCTGTATGTCTCTGACATAGCAGATGTTCTTTGGCTCAATGTGCTTGTATGTGAGGCTGCTTCCTTGTAGTATGTGGTGCTGATTATTATTATTATTAATCTTTTTGTTAAAGTAACCTCTTCTCTGCTTTTTCCTGCTGTAGGTCGCACAGGCTGATTTGGCCTGTATTGGGTACCAGCATTTGGCTTATGCCAATGGTGTTGCACCTTCTTAACGGCAACTGCTCAGATTTTTGCTAGTCATCTTAGCAACCTTCTGTAGTTCAGCCAGAGCCTAAATTCCAGCATCTTTGTGGGAAAAAATTAAACTGACTAATATTTTGAGTGTTTGTTGTATTTTTTGTTGCTTTTCAAGTTCCTTGAAATCTTTTTTCTTTCTTCTTCCCCCCTTCCTTCCCCCCTCCCCCCCGCCATGGGATGGAAAAATATTAGTTAAACTTGCATCCCCTTGTGTTGTAGCTCCTGTCATGATGGAATTCTCTTTAGGGCATTGTCAGAATTGGAAGGTAGGCCTAAGGAAAAGCATTTCAGTACATGGTTCACCATTAGTCTCTGAAAATCATGTAAGACATGAGAAACTGTTCCTTTGTATTTCCATTTATGTACTTGTCAGCTAGTCCTCAATGCAGGGTTAGTCTGGTCCTCTGCTCATCTGATCCACTGCTCTCTATGGATATGGAGGTTCTCCATGATTTGTGCAATGACTCGATGGTTTCTCTCTTATGTAGATATGTTTGAGCTTTAAATGCAAGCCTCCACAGCAATGCAGCCATCTTTCTGATTTCATCAGATTGTCTCTTGGAAAATAGTTTAAAAAACATCATTTGAGTGTAAATGTACTGATACTTCTGTATGTGAATTTCACATTTTTCAGGAAAGCATGTTAAACCATGAAGGCTCTTCCAGCCTTTTCTTCTTGAAAACTCAAGTGTTTTCAAGTTGAGTGGACTCTTCTGCACACACCACCACCCCCCACCCCCACCCCCCCCAATCCTCTTCTGGCCTGTAATTTCGAGCTTTAAGTTCTGACTGGGCCATTGGGGTATTTAATAAAAGTATTGGTCTGATTATCTGCATCTTATCCTGTGCAGCCTGCTGTAGGTGAACCTGCTTTAGCAAGGAGGGTTGGACTAGATGATCTCTAGAGGTCTCTTCCAACCCCTACCATTCTGTGATCTTCTAAGTGTGTTCTGGAAGGAACAGTCTCAATAACATTTTTACAGAGCTCTTTAATTAAGCTAAATGTGGCCATCAAATTCTTTTTTTTGTAAAGAATTATTTAGACCTTAGGTGAACTAGGATAGACTTCAAGCACTTAGTGTCTTACCTGAAATCAGTGACACTGCCTTTGTGTACTGTGAAAAAAGTGTCCTATTTTGCTGTGGCTTATTTGAGAGGAAAGAGAATTTGGCAAAACTTTCAAAAGTAGTGTAAGCTGCAGCCATCATCAAAAGTGGCCTCAGGCTGATGGAGGCTGGTAAGAATTTCTCATTGCTAATACAGCACACTGAAGTCCACGTTGAATGTTAATCAAAGGTTTCTAAATCATGTAAGTACTCTTCGAAAGCTGTTTTTAAATTTATCCTTAAGTATCATAGTAATTATGGAAATTGTATAAGCTTATAGTAATGTTTGGAAATAATCATGGGATCAACCGTGGAATTGCTGTTCTGTCTACCAATTGGACTTAACAAGAACAAAATGCCATTACTACCTTTGTAATCAGATTTATTTTAATGTCTTTGAATGAAATACCTCTGGAATCAACTACTGAGTGCTTTAACTGCTTCCTTGCTGCTTAATGAAACAGTGGCCTTGCCAGGCTGCCTGCTAATGGAGTAGCTTCTTCTTGGGGCTTGTTTTTTCCCTCCCCGTAGATTAGGTATCTGGAACATCTTCTGTAATGCCTAATGCAGATGCCAGAGGAGCAGCGTTAATTCCCCGTATCTTTAATCACAGTTTTCATGTGTGTGCTTATATTGGCAGGCAGATAGACAGGATGAAAAGGTCCCCTTCTTTAAACTTGACATTCAGGTGAACATTCTTCCAAGACCAGTGGGAAAAATGTGCTTCCCCTGCATTGAGTGAACTATCTTACTAATTAAAAAAAAAGTTCTTTAGCTGTAACTTTTAACAAATTAATTAATCTTACAGCAGACTTCACTTATGATAATTGAAATTTATATTCAGAATGGAATTATCCTGCTATTAGCTTAGGTGAGGAGGACTATAATGGGACTGGTGACTGCTCACAAGGGAGAGTAGGAGGATTCACTAAAGGGATCTGAATGGTGTTCAGGATCAAGCTGTTAACTGTGTTTCTTTGTCAAATTCCCTAAATCTGGAAGCAATGAACAAATGCAAATGGTGATTCAAATAACTCTCCTGAATGAATACACAGACTATCCCATTTTGTCATACTTAATAATATTCTGCATTGTGAAAACCTAAAACTAAACCATGCCTAAGCTTAGAACCTTTTTGTCCACAGTTGTGTTAAATCAAGACATTTTAATGTATATAATTGACTTTATAGATTTGGAGAGAGGGAAATAGCAGGACTTGCTCATGCTGATTAGGCAGCTGAAAGCTACCTTGGTGGTGGT